GTGTCCTCCTCCTTACCTCAGAGTGTGACAAAATGCAGCACTTTCCACATGGCCGTTGAAGCTAAAAGAGCAAAGATGCCTCAGAAGAAAATCACATATGTGGGAATGCGTTAAATTACCAGGCGTTAAGAAAAATGCTCAGTGAAATATGTGCATTACAAGGATGGTATACCATGGAGGTAACAAGTTTGATGAATCATCTCAAATATGTGAGTACAGTGATCCTTATGTGAGTACTAGCATGTGTCCAGTCTACACTGCATACTGACTCAACTCCATCACACAACAACTTCAGACCTGAATATTAACTCATTTTTCTCCCTTTCTTCTGCAAAACAAGCTTTTTAGCTTTTTTATTTACAGCACAAACAGCTGATCTGTTTTTTGCAGTGAGATCAGAAAAGTGTAGCTTCCACACTCTTAGTACAGCACAGGAGCTGCTCTGCAACTACCACACCAACATCATCATTAAAAATGATTAATTTAAACATAGTTTGGATAGAAAGTGCCCTGCGTTGGACTGGCGACCTGTCTAGGGTGTATCCTGCCTCCCACCTAATGACTACTGGGATAGGCTCCAGCTCCCCCCGCGACCCAGAAGGATAAGCGGCTTAGAAAATGTGTGTGTGTGTGTGTGTGTGTGTGTGTGTTTCACTGGATCTCTGTAGAGTTTATGCTTCACTCACCAGATGAAAAAAATGCAACAGTTCATGTTTTGATGGATGTAAGATGTGCACCTAGCACAGCCATTATGGAATAACATGTTGATTAAAATGGAACCATATCTGTTCCATCAGATGGATGACTGAAACACATTTGAAAATGAAAGAAAGAGTGTTCGAGTGCTTGTTTGCAAATATCAAACAGTATTAAAATCCAGTAAAATGTTATCTGGGTCAGCCCTAGTTTGCATTGTACTCTTTTGTTACAAAAAACAAAGATTTCATCATGCGAAGAACTCTTTAAGCACGCAAATGATTTGTTTATGGTTCAATATAGACCCACTGTCTTTACTAAAGATCCCTTCAAGAATCTATTTAAGAGTGTAGATACTCAAAAACATTACGTGATGTCATAGAATTACAACCGAAAAAAAAGCTTTGGCACATTTGTTCGTTTAGGAGTTACTCAGTGAAGAGTTTTGTATTAAAGGCTGAAAGCCAACCAGTGACAGTGTTATCATTAGAGATTTCAGAGGAGTGCAGTTAGCATCTCCACTGAGGGAGGGAGGAAGAGGGAGAAGAGAAGAGAGAGAGAGAAACAGGAACAGAGTGGGAGGCAAATGGAAAGATTGAGAGTAGAAAGAGGAAAAGAAAGAGATAGAACAGAAAGGATGGTGGAGACAGATGCCAACAGAGAGAGAGAGAGAGAGAGAGAGACAGGGTGAGCGAGTGCATTCATGTTTTTGTTAGAGATGAGAAAATGAAAGATGAGTGTAATCAGCACAGGTGAGCTGTGAAGTGCTTTTTAGCATCACGCTTTGTTTTCTTCCATTTGATGTGTGCGGTGTGTGTTTAAGTATGTTTGTGTGTCTGTAAGTGTGTGTGTATATGGGTGTGTGTGTGGTGTGTTTGTGTGTGTGTGTTTTTGTGTGTGTATGCACATGTTTGTGTGTGGTTTGAGTGTAGGTGTGTTTATGCATAAGTGTGTGTGTGTGTGTGTGTGTGTATATGGTGCATGTGTGTATTGTGTGTGCAGTGTGTGTGTGTGTGTGTTGAAGTGTCACGCTCTATGCCGTCACAGATGCAGCTGCTTACAGCAGGGTCACGGTCCAGTGCACAGCACACGACTCCAGAGCGAGTGCCCCACACACACACACACACACACACACACACACACACCCACATACACACACACAGACAGTACTAATGAGAGATGGGGAGAATCTGTTCTTTCTCCCAGAATGAACCTCGTCCTGCATCTTATATACTACACCTCAATCAATCTGCACTCTAAAAAATAATATCTTGGAAATTAAATCATCTTAGATCTGTTCAATATATCTAAGATTTCTCATTATTAGATTGTTGCAAGAATATTATGAAATTATTAAACCTATTTTGTTTCTTTGAACAAATGAAGCTTGAAACAAACAAGTTTATCTTTATATAGAATCCAATGATTTTACTAGATAAAGTAACAAGTAAAAACATCTAGAAGTAAATTAATCACTCTTATAATTGTTTTACAACAATCTTATTTATTAGATATATCGAAGACACTGTGCAAAAGTCAGAGACAAAGGAGAGGGTCAAAGGAAAATACGTTAAAACGATTAAAATATATAGAGAAAGGGGACTCCTAACAACTGTAGACATGGTAGACCACCAAACTATCACCATCAGATAAACAGTACTAAAAACTTTCATCTTTGAGAGAGAGGAGGGAATCAGCACTATGCGTCTGAAAGGATGTGTAGCTGTCAAGAAACCTTTACTGAGGAAAGAAAATAGACCAAAAAAATGTGCAAATCAAAATAATAGACTGACCACCCCAGAGTCCAGACCTTATTATTATCTCTATTAATACCTGGACTTTTTACTGTGGGACTACAGTTTGAACTAATTTGGACTCTACAGTTCTCTCAAGAGATTAACCACACTTCACTGTCTGACAGTCTGACAGATGAACCTGGGTTTGGTGGATGCCAGGAGAACGCTATCTACCGGAACACATAGTGCCAACGGTACAGTTTGGTGGAGGAGGGATAATGGTCCGGGGCTGTTTTTCAGGGTTTGCGCTTGGCCCCTTAATTCCAGTGAAGAGTAATGTTAATGCTACAGCATACAAAGGTGTTTTGGTCAATTATATGCTTTTTTGAGGAAGGCCCTTTCCTTTTCCAGTATGACTGTGTCCCTGTGCACAAAGCAAGGTCCATAAAGACATGGTTGGGTGAGTTTGATGTGAAGGAACTCCAGTGGCCTGCACAGAGCCCTGACCTCAACCCAACTGAACACATTTGGGATGAACTGGAACGTTGAGCGTGAGTCAGGCCCAACATCAGTGCCTGACCTCACAAATGCTCTTCTGACTGAATTGGCACAAATTCCCACAGACACACTCCACAATCTTGTGAAAAGTGTTCCCAGAAGAATGGAGGCTGTTATAGCTGCAAAGGAGGGGCTGACTTCATATTAATGCATATGATTTTGGAATGGGATGTACAACAAGTTTGTAAAGGTCTGATAATCAGGTGTCCACATACTTTTTCATGCATGGACCACTTAAAATGAAAGCTGCTGTTTGTGTTACACACATAAACACACACTTATTAATGGGAAGCAGCAGCATGTCATGTTTTTCTTCCATTGTGGGGACATTTGGTTCCTGTGAAGACAGTCAAGTAGAGGATACACACATATGCACACAGAGAGTGCTATTGAGATATAGAAAATCTCCTAGAATTCACAGCGTCATACAAACTTACCACACACACACAAACTTTACCCTCAGTAATCAAATAGGCATCTTTATTTTCTGTCAGTGTTTAATAGGAGAACTTCTGTTTGTGTGAAAAAAAAACTTTGTGTCATGGCAACACACAAAATGTCCCTGCAAAATTTCATATTTTGCTGCAGTGACTCACTGATCTGATGATCTGATATACAGGATTGGTATTGGCACTGATATGGATGTTATCAAATGAATCGGCCGTTGGTCAGACATGACTAATCCACTCTCAGTTCTGTTTTTGAGTCACAGTCGTTATAAAATTGGTAGATAGACAATTATCCAATAATCTACTTGGTTATACGCTACTTTTCCTCTTCTGAGTCATTCCACAACGTCATAATGTATTACTCTTATCAAAATGCTATGACTTTCCATTACATCACATACAGTACTTTATTTCTATAGCTAGATAGGTTTGTGTTATGGCGTGGAAAAAAACCTCAAGGACAGATTAATTATATTTTCTTAAAATGATTGTTTTTATATTCAGTTAATATTGTTTGCATTAATATAGAAGCATATTGACCTCTGAGTATAGTTTAATGTTAATTTAACAGATTTAAAACTGAGGAAGAAAAAATATGGCTGGTATCAGATGAGTACTCAGTATCGGCTGAGTTTGGGTATCTGTATCAGGACAGAAAAGTAGGATCCCTACATTATGGGGACATTTTGTCCTCATAAAGACAATAAAACACCAAACAGCTTTTGTAATTGTCATCCAGTACTGTGAGAAAATGAATGATAAGAAGAGAAGAAAGTGATTGGACCCTTAAGGACTAGCTGGATCTTTTCAAGGACTGTTGTGTCTTCCTTCCTGCTCTTGCTTACTAAGCCTTTCTCCTTACGAAAAGTCAAATTTACTCAGTTTTTCACTTACACCAGATGTAGTCGATCAACCAAGACATGTTTGGTGTCCAAATTTTGCTTCTTTAGTTCTTTGGTGCCACCCTAACGAAGACCTGGAAGCAGTTTGAGGGGTTGAGAGAAGGTTTGGGGATGTATTTACTTGAAAGATTTGGGTGACTATTGATTTCTAGTGTTCGTCAGTGACATTACCCTCGTAGCTCCAGCACTAAACTAAAGAAGGCAGAATTTGTATGGAAATTTGTGGCCTGGAGTGGAAAATTGTGCAAATTAGATTTTTTTCCCAACCATTTCTAATCTCTTCTTCCTTTCCTGTCGTCACCATTATCTTTTCTCTTAAGCTTGATATCCCTGCTTATTCTGCACTGTGTTTTTAAGAAAGACCCTCCAAGGTCTTTGGTTTGCTGTCCTGTTTGAGCAAAGAGAAAACTTGTCCCCCACATAGCACTTCACCCATAGTTTGGATGTTTTGCCACCTCTTGGTGTCTGTGTCCGTGAGACAAAGCCAACAGCTGGGGGGAACGAGAGAGGAGAGGAGGAAGCAAAGATCTGAGCCAAATGGCTGTGATGCAGCTGGCTGCACTTTAGCCGAGTCAGCGAAGCGGGCGGGGGGGTTTGATGAATGAAAAGTAGCCGTCTATCTGATTGCCTGTCATATTTGTGTCTCTCTCGCAGTGCAGAAAGCGCACACCCCCGCCAGGACCATGAGCGATGAGCCGCCTCTGCTGACCAGCCTCACGGAGAACGCCACCGTGAGTACCCTTACATTCACACCGCTCGTGAGAAAAGATTCAAATAACAGAACCTCTGGAGATGTGGTTCTCAACCCTGGCCTTGGAGTATCCCCTCCAGTGTTTTTCCCGCTCCAGCACACATCTGGTTCCCTAAAGCGCATGGTTCTTTAAACATTTATAAAGGAGAACCTTTAAAGATTCTCCTCAATTTTAAAGATCCTCCACATAATGTAAAGGTTCTATACTAATTAAAGGTTTGTCCTAGAACCATACATCCAAGCCAAGAACCATTGAGGAATCTTTATTTTTTAAGCATACAATCATAATTAAGGTTTCATAAAGGGTTCTCTGGGGCTATGCCATAGAAGAATCACTTCTGGTTCTTCCAGTGGATGAGTCTTTAAAGAACCATTTATATAAACAAGATGTACGAGTGTGAAGAATCTTTTAAGTCATGAAAAAGTTCTGTACCAATCAAAAGTTTTCTCTAGAACCATACACTCATGCCAAATGTGTAACCTAATAACACATTAGATGGGGGAGGTATTCCAGGGTGGGGAACCACTGGCCTAGGGAGCTAGAACCCTGTAGAAACCCTTCTCCCGGACATTTGCCCTTATGCAGAGTTCACCTGAAAAATTCATTTGTAAGAACAGATATCTCCATTTTAATGAATTTTCATAAATCCTGTTTTTTGTGCATCCCAGGTAATATCAATCAAACTGCATTTGGGTTGTTTTGATTAAGTAGAAATAACTCAACAAAACACAGGTATCTTCCAAAATGAAACCTTGGAAAATGTTTTTAATTTAATTTTTGTTTTTTGGCAAAAGCAGCGCACTCCAATGGTCATTTCATGTTTCAGACTTAAGCAAAGCCATTTAATGGATACGTGTTATTTTAAGTGCAGTATTTAACATACTTTAACTTAAAAAAACAAGCAGGTAAAGTACTGAAAATTGCAATAAACACAGCCCGTTAATGGGTTATATTAAACATGTATAAGATCATATCTTGGAAAATCCTGAATCTCAAATGGCTCACTGCTTCCTGTATAGTGCACTATGTGTGTTATGAATTTTTGGCTTTAACACCCAAATATTGCACTTTATGTCCAGTATGGAGTTGTGCACACATGGCTGTTTAGATACAGTATGCATTATTTTAAGGATTTATCGGGTTCTGCTTGAGAACAGCGCTGGCGTTTGACTGTTTCTGGTGTAAAATGTGAACTTGTAATGCCTTGACAATGGACAACAACAGCTTTTGTGACAAAACACATTTATGGTTCAGAATGCTCTGTGTGTTAAGAATAACTCATGACCATCAGCTCATTTTTTAAAGGATGATGTTTATCGTTTTTTTTGTACTGAACTCTTCAATTGTTACCTGAACCTAACACACCTGTTTCTAATATTCAGTAGCTCCTCAAGACCTTCATTAGCTGGATTAGATATATTAGGTTGAGGCTAGAACCAAAACGCTGATAGATCTCTAGAAGCTGACCTTTCACTAGAAATTGTCCGTTTTTATAACTATGCTCACAATTTGATTTATTCAGACCTGTGTGAACACAAGAACTATTTTTTTTCTAATCAGCCACCTTCATATGTGCTCCTAGATCTAGGAGGCTATGCAACCAGAACAAGAATTCATCTTCAGCAGTCTCTTACCCCAAATTCCTTAGCAGCACTGGCTATGACCAATCAGAGTGGAAGGGCTGTTTACAGCTGCCTGAACAACAACAGTGACCAAAAAGAGAAGACTGACTCTGTCCTAAATCCAGGCTTTTGAACCCAGTGTCCTTGAGGCCCTTAGCCCCAAAGGTCTGCTTGCTGTTGACGTCACCAAAGTGCTGACTTGGAGAAGTACTGCAGGGCTTAGAGGGCCATTTGGGACCATCTGGGACAGACTTAACTTGAACTGCATTGCTACCGCAGTGATAAATTGTCTTGCATATATATATATATATATATATATATATATATATATATATATATATATATGTATACACGTCATTCCAGAACATTTTTGTTGTCTTGTTGTCGTTCATGACTCATGGGTCATGGATGTGATATTGTCCTTTCAGGGTAAATCCCTCCACAGGATTTTGTCCTTTGTTCACACAGTCCTGCTGCTGTAAAAGAATCCACATTTCTGAGAAGTCTCTACTAGATGTTAGAACATTGCTGTGAGGATTTGAGTGTATTCAGCCACAAGAGGTCAGGTACTGATGTTGGATGACTGGATCACTCCAGTGCCACTCCAACTTGTCCTAATAGTATTTGATGGTGCTCCATCTCTCCAGAGAACAGTCCCACTGCTCAACAGCCCAATGCTGGGGGCCGTATTCCCCTCTAGCTGACACCTTGCATTGGACAGGGTGTCATTGGAACTTAGGTCAACTGCTTATCTAACTATGTGTGCGCAATTGAACACCTGTGTCAGCAGTGGGTCCACCTTAAAGAATCTGGATTAATCACTATTTAGATGAGATACTTTTGGACATACAGTGTATATGTACCCCCGAATATCCAGCCTACTTTCGAAGTCTGTACTTGCTGTGCATACTGAACCTGCCTTACGTAAACAGGAGCAACAGCTATTGCAGCCTTAAAGGAAAGTCCATACTAAGCATTTTTGTCTTGAGAAAAGCCCCCTCCCCAACCCCTCTCTATTCTGCCCCATTCCCTGCTTTCAGAGTCTTTTGATGCTACACGGAGCCGCATCACTCCAAGGCAGCGCGGCTGAAAGCGCTAGAAAATGGCCTGGAAGAATTCCTTGCCCTCCATATGCCTCCATTTTCTTTGTTGTTCTTTCATTCCGCTCGCCCAAGGGCGCCTGTCGGTACCATTATCTACGTCAGTCACGAACGCTGCTGAATTCAAGGAGTGTTATCCTTCAGTTATGCATTCGCTGCAGCTGATAAGGGCTGGTAGATATGATGGTATCATTTTGGAGATATGAAATGTAGATTGCCTTGGATTTTGAATGTCATAGTATGGAGCATTGTGGTAGAGCTTAAATAATAGTAATTCTTGTCCTTGCATAACAATAGATTTGTCGTCTCAAATCCGTTACTGCAGATTATCACAATCCATTTCCGGAGGGCCAGTGCACATTTGTATTCTACTTCTGCTACAACCCACCCCCAGCAGGTCATCAGGAAGCTGTAGAGTGCTGCTAATACCTAGTATACCTGGTATATATGTACAATGCATATTGCCATTTTTGCATCATGACATGATACATTGTTGATACAGAGTCAGTCAAAAATGCTAACATTGAATGATTGATTGATTTTTTTTTTTTGATTGATTGATTGATTGATTGATTGAGTGATTGATTGATTTTGGTACATCCCAAAATGTTTTTTTCCCCCAAAAGAGATGTATTACATGCTGTACGTGTGTTTTTGGCAAACCCGTTATTATGGCCCATGATAATAAACGTGAACAAAAAAATTGTAAATTATAAAGCTATAAATTATAAATTATTATAAATCTCGTAATGAAAAGAAATGATCTTAAAAAGGTCATTTATAGTCAGAACTTGTGTTTCTATAAAAAGTGTGGCTCTTACCTTCTGGCTGAAATGAGTGTGAAAGGGAATTATCTAACCTGGCTTAATCACTCTTAGCAGAATCCAAGACTCCCTACAACCGAGTAGAGGTACAAATCAGAAGCCTTCAAATGAGTTATTTAACTCGTTTTGACAATGTTTTGTCCTCGCTCTGGTAACTGAGATATGAGCTAGCATATTTGAGTATTAACATGAGTAATTGATTTGCAGTGTCAGCACACAGTCCCTGTTTGATCTACCACTCTTTGCCTATCATTATTGGACTGGAAAACCATAGTGTTTCCAAACAGGAGGTGTATGAATGCAAAGATGGCTTTGCCTCTTCCAGCTCAAGCTTGATCTCTCCACTCACCATTTCAAAATCTTTGGTAATTAACCATCCAAGGTATACAAAGCTGATGTTTCTTATTCTCCAGCTTCTTATCTGAATTTTTTGGAGGCACCAGGGTGCAACTGCTGCACCACTTAAAGTGAAACGCAATACATATTCACAATACTTGTATCCCATTACATCCCAACCCTGCACACATTTGCCTCAAACAATGGAGTTGTTAAATAATCTCACATAGACTAAAGTAGGATTTTGTTTCTCAAATCTTACTTTAGTAGGAATTCAGGATTTTGTCCAATTTTATAAACAACAGTATGTCACACAGTGTAGAAACCACATAATCTATTTAAGATTAATGAACAACTTAACAAAGTTTGAGATAAATGTGATGATTTATGCTAGCATTTTGCACAATGCTAAATGGTGGGGTGCCAGGTTTCATTAATTGTTAGCTACCTTAACATTGTGGATCTCGGGCAAGTCCAAAAAAGCAAACCTCAGACAGCTTGACTACATTTAGGATAAGGGGAAATATGTTTTTTCTGCTGTTGCTTTAAGATCAGACATGGTAATTCGTATTATTATCAACAGTAGTTTAAAACACAGGCTGCGCTGTCACTGGAGCTTACAAGTGTACATGCGAAAAGGGCCATAAGCAGAAGGTCATAGGACCCACAGTAAAAGAGATGCTTCTTGATGTTTGTCAGTTTGAGATGTGTTTATGTGTTTACTGTGTGTTTATGTGCTGGGTGGTGGGTTTAGTTAGCCTAGTTAAGTGTTTACAGTAGAGTGGAATTTTATGGCTATAGGTGACCTTTTCTGCTATTTCGGGTTTTAGGCAAGTGGCTTTTCTGCCGTGTTCAAAATAAAAGAGCATGTTTTGAGCAGACATTCTGGCCTCTCTTGGCTCTTCTCATGCACACATTACAAAATATTTTTTTAGGAAGTATTACCCACCCCCATAGTTCAGTTTATAACAGGACTGATAGGATTGATCATGCTATTATTTGTGGTCGAGCTCAACTGACAGAGTCTTCCACAGCTATACTGAGCCAGGAAGAGATGGTGACCTATGTGTTTACATATTTATTGTAGCTTATTTCTG